GGGGGGGGGGGGGCTGCCACTCAGGCGTGTGGAGGTCAGAAGACAACTTGTGGGAGTCGGGGCAAGTGACTTTACCATCTCACTAGTGGGTCCTGCCATTCTGTTTTTAAAGTTTTCTCTAGAGTTATGAATGTATGTTGATGGTTCAGTTTGTCTTTTGAATTCCCTGACAACTGGTAAGGCTGCTACATTTCCAGATGCTCAAAAGAGTCTCTTTCCTGAAGTGCCTGCCCAAGCCTTTGGCCAGTTTTTACTGGGTTGTCTGTCTTTTTCTACTGATTTACACTTCTTTCCTTACTTTGGGTATGGACCCTTTGTCTACCGTACACTTCAACAATTTCCTGTTTTAGTCTGTGTTGTTGCCTTTCAAATCCATCAGTAAAATCTTCTAATGAAGAAAAAATTCTTAAATTCAAGAAGAAAAATTCTTAACTTCAAGAAAGTCCAATTTGGGCTGGGAATGTAGCTCAGTTGGTAGAATGCTTGCCTAACATGCACGAGACCCTGTGCTCTCGCCCTAGCACTCCATAAACAGTGTGGTGATACATACCTGTAATCCTAGAATTTGGGAGGTAGAAGCAGGAGGGTCAGAAGTTCAAGGTCATCCTCAGCTAATAGCAAGTTCAAGCCCAGCCAGTCTCAAAAACAAATAAGTGGGCTGGATAAATGGCTCAGTGGTTAAGAGCACTTGCTGCTCTTACAGAGGACTGGAGTTCAATTTCCAGATCATAACTCCTGTAACTCCAGTTCTAGATCTGTTGCCTTCTTCTGGCTTTTAAGAACACACACACACACACTTTTAAAAAGTCCAATTTATCAATCTTAAAAAAAAAAAATCATCATTTTTTTTCTATCATTTCCTGTTTTAAAGAACCTCTCCCTTGCCGGGCGTGGTGGCGCACACCTTTAATCCCAGCACTCGGGAGGCAGAGGCAGGTGGATCTCTGTGAGTTCAAGGCCAGCCTGGTCTACATAGTAAGTTAGTAAGTTCCAGGACAGCTGGGGCTACAGGGAGACCCTGTCTCAAAAAGACCAAAAAAAAAAAAAAAAAAAGAACCTCTCCCTTATCAAATTGGAACTCAAGTCCTCACACCTGCAGATAGACACTTTACTAACTGAGACATCTTCCTAGCCCCAGGGCTGCTTTCTTAATTGAGTTGAATAGTTTGGACAAAAGCGCCGTCACTGCCGCCACCTGTCTGTTTATGTTCTTGTTCTCTTTAACTAGTTTTTCTTAGAGGGTTCCTGGCTAAGTACTGATATTCAGGAACTAGGTACCTCAGAGTGATACCCAGAAGAGTTACCTGCCACCAGAAACATGAGGTGGATTAGAAGTTCTTGTTTGATGGAGGCAAGGCTCTTCTTTAATTGCCTACCCCAGGGACTATGCCAGCATTTGGTCTTAGCACCCCCAGAAGCTGACTCAGTATGTATGTGAGCGTGTGTGTGTGTGTGTGTGTGTGTGTGTGTGTGTTTATGTATGTACTGGGCAGTACAAAGAAACACCTAGGCCAAGTAAATGCAAGTAAAACAGTCATAGGGTTACTATGCCATCCTAAAAATCCATTTCATAACTCTAATTTGACAAAATCCATTGCACTGCTGGGCTGCTACTATGGCAAAGAAAGGTGGAGGTGCCAGGGAGAGGACTTCCACATGGAGAGAGCAATGCAGTGGGTAGAGATTGGTGGTAGGCTTACAAATGTTTATCTACTCTGCAGAAAAATGTCTGATCTGTATATTTGATAATTTCTGTAGTGTAGATACTCCCATTTTTGCCATTCTGAGCTACCAACATGATGTCACTGGGGTTGGGGAGAGATGTGCAGTAGTGCACGATTATGTTAAGTTCCCACCAAGCACATAGTATTGTGACATACTATGATAGGTAGCCCTGAGAGCATAACTGATAGTAAATAGTAAATGATTGGAAATGGTGAATTTTGAGTATTACCTCTTTTTAAAGTAGTTTATGTAATCACTTAGTCCTCAGTAATGGCTGTGTTCAACAATCAGCTCACCAAATTCCTATATATGCCCTGACTGGTTATTCCAACACCTCACCAGAGGTTTAGGCAGGGGAGCAAGCTCAGCTCTTTGGGGATGTTTGGAGCCCCCAAGGCAGAGTTTTCAACCAAGCTGGACCACATCTGAGTGCTCTGAGGAGCTCACCCTGGCCTATAGAAGAACCCTTCCCGCAGACTGAACCTTCACTTTGTCAATGTCAATCAGTACACAAAGGCCAGCAAGCGCATGCTCTCTGATTCCTGGGAAGAGAGGGGAGAGGGGCCTGGCCTGACTAAGTTGCAAGAGTGTAGGCCACCGTGTCCCAGGGCTCCATTTTCTTGCCCACCAACTATGAAGGCCATGTCATTTTCAATCATTTGCTCATTTTGGTGATTTCCATTGTTACTTAATCACCATCTAGAGCTCCCAGTTCTCCCACAAGATAAATTCCAAACTCCTTAGCTTTGTTTGCAAAACTTTGAGAATTTTTTAAAATTTAGTCCTGAGGAATTTGAACCTTACATACCTGGGTTCTAGAATGTAGACTTTAATACTTAAGTATAAAAATACCTAGCACTTTCCTGCAGGTGAAAATCTACCTGGATGAATAGGACCTACTATTAGCCACAGCCCAAGGGGAATACAAATGATGCACTTTTCAGGACGTACAATGCATTTTTGAGGACAAACAAAGCTCTGCAAGTGGTAGAAACCAGATAACTACCCAAGGCTTGGGGGCAGGGAAGAGGCAGCAATTTATTTAGGTGGGGATGGTTCCTGAGGCTTCTAAAAGAAGATTTGGTTTCATCTGAATGTGAAAGGCTAGAAAGGATTTTCTGTGTTGAGAAAGGAGAAGGCACTCCTGGCTGAAGGATGTTCTAGAAGGATAAAATTCACAGCGCTTTCCAGCAGATGAAAAGTCTGCTTTCTGGAACTTAGGTGTGCAAGGGTCAAATTCCTTAGAATTCCATTAAAAACAGATATCTTGGGGCTGGAGAGATGGCTCAATGGTTAAGAGCACTGGCTGCTCTTGCAGAGGACCTAGGTTCAATTCCCAGTGCCCAAATGGTGGCTAACAGCCAGCCATAACTCTAGTTCCAAAGGAGCCAGTGCCTTCTTTTGACCTCTGTGGGCACTGTGTGACACAAGTGCTCTTACATACATGCAGGCAATACACTTATATACATACAAAAAACCTTGATATCCTCAAAGCTTTGCAAATGGGAGAAGAGGAGAGGAGAGGA